TGATCCCCTGCAGGGAGGAACCCCCACCCCAGGTTGCCCCCCGCCTTGCGGCCGGGTCGGGAGATACAATAGCATGGCAGTGGCGAGGGACCAAGGGAACAGGCATCCCAGTGCGTACGTCGCCACTCTGGTTCATTGCCGCAACAGTCCTAAGGGGCGAGACTTAGTCTTCCTGTTTTTAAAAATAAGGAAACTGAGGCATGGGGAGCTGTGGTGGTGCAAGAACACACAGACAGGAGGCGTCCAAGCCAAGTTCTGCTGGACTGCAAAGCCCAGGCTCTCTGCATGGCATCATGGTGCGCCCTGGGCCCCAGGCTGCACTTCCAGGTCTAGGGGTCTTGCAGGCGCAGCGATCAAGGGGGGGAGAGGTGCCTCCTGCCTGCCCCGTCCTGAGTCTCCTCCTCTAGGCCCTCCTTTCCAACAGCACTGCCTTCCCCCAGCTCCTAGCTGCACTCCCGCGAGTGAGTCACCTTTGTCCCTGCCCTGGGCGTGGAATTCTCCCGTGCCTGTCACGAAGGAGTGATTCATTCATGCATCTATTCACTCACTCACTCTCCAACTCACTTACCCACTCCTCATTAATTCTCACTTGTTCACTCCTTTACTCATTCAACAAACACGGATCAGTTAGCTTTGCTGCTTCTCTCCCTTAGGCATTCAGAGAAAGGAGACCTTAAGCCATGGGGTTGATGCAGGGCCGTAGTGAGATTCAGGGAGCTCCCCGACTGCCAAAGAATGCAAACGCCCTCTGGCCTAAGGCGCTTTGCCCAGAGGGCTGTTCTTCCTCACAGACACTCTTTGGCACTCGCCTGAGGAAATACCCTGTGCGGGCCTCAGCTGCCTCATCTGTTGAATGGGTTGCTTGGAGGGTCAGTGCCAGGGCCCTTGGCAACTGCTAGGAACCTGCCTCTGGCGCCTGGGACACTTGCTGTCCTGTCTTCCTTCACTTGACTTGCCCCCGCTTCACGTGCCAGACAGAGAATAGGAATTGAGACCCAAATGTCTGTTCTGGGGAATAAGTGGTATTTTACCCGGTTTTTTAATTAAAGTGGGTCTCAGGTACAGAAAATCTCAGATCTTAGCAACAAGATTGGAGCCTTCTGATGAACTGAAAGATAAGAGTTGGTGTTATTTACTGAGCACCTACTAAGTGGCAGGTGCGTGTTTTCTGCAGTACAACAATCAGCAAGGTAGGAGTGGCTTTCCCATTTTCTAGATGAAGAAACCGAGGCCCAGAAAGGCTCTCCCGTGGTTAGAGTTAGTAAGTAATGCACAACTTGGTGTCCTGCTGCCGCAGCAGAGAAGACCTGGTGCCTCCCCAGTCCTCATCAGGGACAGTGAGGAGGTGACATCCCCCTGCCTCGCCCACGGCACCCCCAGACAGGCTCTCCTGGCTCTCCTGTGTGGGAGGCAAGTGCCGTGGGTGCGATTCGCTTCATTCTTGTTTTCATTGATTCATGTTCCTCTTGGGCCCCGTCCCGCAGGTCAGGGAGATGTGGAGTCACCATCCTCCCTCTTGCCAGCTGCACCCCTGCCCTCCCACCTGTCAGCTCTTGAGGTCCCTTCAGCATTCCCTCCAGCCTCCTGACATCTGCTCTTGATTCCGGTTTCCCCACATCATCCAAGGAGTCAGAAACATGGCACAGCCTGTTGTCTTGCCACTGCCAACGGAGGGCCTGGATCCAAAGACACACTTCCTACCTGGTGCAGCCTGTGGCCGCATTTCCCCGTGTTTCAGACATGGGAACGGTGACCTTCTCAGGAACGGGGTGGCCACGACTGACCGCTTCCCTGGGTGAGTCCAGGTGTGGTGACTCCCTGGTACTGGGGGTTCCTGTGTCCTCCCACAGACCAGAATCCAGGGAGCTCCACACCTGGGAGCCCCGCTTCACCTCACACCAGTCACCACCTAGGGGTGTGAGCATGTCACGGAGCCCTGGGCAGGTTAAAGACAAAATAGCGAAAGTTGGGGGGCTGTGGCAACATGGGCTAGAATTCTCTAGCCCGCTTTGAAGAGCCCCCCGGAACACGTCATGATTTCCCCTCCCCACACCCCTCGGCCTTGCCCAGGCCTGCACCAGATGCAGGGTAGTGGGCGCTGCTGAGTTGGGTGGCATCAGTGGATACACATGGGGGCTCGCTGCGGGTCCCCCCTTAGCCTGAAGGCTGACAGTAACTCACTCTGTGACTGGGCCAGTTGCTTAGCAGCTGCCGTGCTCCCAGGGCCTCAGTTTCCCCACAGGCTATGTGTTTTCTTGTGGACCTCAGTGCCTGTGTCGTCTTCATGTTCTCTGGCCAGCCCAGTGAAAGGAGAGTCCAGACTGGGTGCCAGGTGTATGTGAGTCACAGGCACTCAGTTCCAAATAGTGCGTAGATGAATACAGATGTGTGTGTGTGTGTGTGTGGTTATTTTTTATTTTTTGCTTCATTGCACTTAAGTCACATTTTCCTGTCTTCTGATCCAAGCCCTAAAAGCGTTCTGTGGTATAAAATCTCCCATCATCTGATCCACTCTTCCGAAATAAACCAGCTCCCCTGCCGTCATCTTCCCTGAAAAGTACCCCTGCGTCATGCTCCGAGGCTGGTGAGGAGAGGCCTTGCCCGCTTAAAACACTTCAAAATAATCCCCCCGCACCCCTGGTCCCCTTCACTCCCTGGGGGACTGCTCCGGTTTCTCGGGCTGTCATTACTGGAATGCCAGCTGCTGCGCTTACGGCCCATCCGTACAGACCTGCTCTGTCTGTCCTGGGCCTCTGCTTAGCTCATCTCATGGAAATATCGTTTCAAAAATAAACGCCGGTTCAATTTGCACTTCCCTCTTGTCTTCCCTGTCTCCTGGCGTCCCACCACTTGGCCACAGTCAATCCATTAAGGCGCTGCTGGCTCCCAGAGAGTCCCCTGGTGGTTGTGTGTCAGTGGCTGGCTGCCCACCAGCGATGATGCCTCCGGGGCCGCTAGCAGCCTTAGGGGCCCTCTGGGGCTGCCCAACTGTTGGCTTCATTTAAGTGAGTCTTGTGGTCATTTAAATGTCCCTTAAATCTGGCATAGGGGAAAGAGCAAGAGCTCTGGAGGCAGCCAGACTTGGCTCTGCCTCCGGCATTGGGTGACGTTGGACAAGTCATTTCCCTCTCTGGGCCCCGTGGGTGTGTCAGCTACAAGGCACCTCCTTCACGGGCTGCAGTGTTCCCGCTGCTCCTAGGCATGGGGTGGGGGTGGTGCTGCTGGTTCTTATGAGTGACATCAAGTCGGTGCTCAAGGGGGAGGTATGTTTAGAGCTTTCTGGCAGATCTTTGTACTCCTTTCGTCTTCCAGCATCCATACTTTGTGGGGTGTTTTGTTTTGTTTTAGGTTGGTCAAGTGAAGCAGTGGGAGTCATATTCTGATTCTTTTAAGTTATCAGAAAGCAAGTTGTAGGCTATAAAATTTTGAGTAAAACATAATGTTAGTTTAATTAGTCCCAAATGGAGCTGTGAGGACTTCAGAGCTAAGTTAGTGATTCAGTTAGGCGGGGCCCGTCGTGCCTGAGAAGCAGCAGGGTGTCGCGTTAAGAGCACAGACTCAGGCCCGGCGCGGTAGCTCACGCCTGTAATCTTAGCACTCTGGGAGGCCCAGGCGGGCGGATTGTTTGAGCTCAGGAGTTCGAAACCAGCCTGAGCAAGAGCAAGACACCGTCTCTACTAAAAATACAAAGAAATTAATCGGACAACTATATAGAAAAAAAAAAAAATTAGCCGGGCATGGTGGCGCATGCCTGTAGTCCTAGCTACTCGGGAGGCTGAGGCAGAAGGATCGCTTGAGCCCAGGAGTTTGAGGTTGCTGTGAGCTAGGATGATGCCACGGCACTCTAGCCCAGGCAAAAGAGTGAGACTCTGTCTCAAAAAAAAAAAAGAACACAGACTCAGAAATTTTGAACCGCAGCTGAGCCGCCTGCTGTGGCGTTGGACAAGAGCTTCGGGGTCTCTGTGCCTCAGTTTCCTTGGCTGTAAAATAGGTATAAGAATAGTACCTACCTCCTGGGGATGAGCTGAGGATTGATCGAGGTAGGCATGAAACACTTCAAACCATGCCTGGCACAGAGAAGGTGCCACACAGGTATTGTCTGTTTTATTGTGGTTATTATATCATATTATCATGTGGCAGAGAGTTATGACGTATACACATACAAGTGACATTCATTATCATCTGGGCGATTTTCGCCTCCTGGGTACATTTGGCAATGTTTGGAGTCATTTGTCACAGCATGGGGGTGAGGGCACTACTGGCATCCCATGGGTCATGGCCAGGGATGCTGCTAAACATCCTTCAATGCATAGGACAGCCCCGACCATGGAGAATTAGCTGGCCCCAGTGTCAGTAGCGCCATTAGAAACCTGCCTTAATGTAAGCTTTCTGGTAGCCCTGTAGGCCTCTCGGCCACTTGTATCACTTGCCTTAGTTGTAATTTTTCACTTATTGGTAGGATTATTTTCTTATTACCCATCAAGTCCCAGGACGGCCACGTCCTGGCTATGTGACCTTGGGCCCAGGGAGCTGCCTTTCAGAACCTCCATTCCTCATCTGAAAATGGGATTATAAACATCTGATAAGTTTGGAGTAGAGGTTAAGACCACAGGCTCCAGGGTCAAGACATACCTGAGTTCAAGTCACAGCTCTGCTACTTACTTAGTGAACTTAGGCAAGTTAACACACAAACCTCAGTTTCCTCAACTGTGAAATGGGTCTAATAATTCCCTTCTTCGTTCATAGGGTTAATACGGGAGTTAAAGGAGCTGGTGTTGGTGATAATTATTTTATTATTAAATATTATCAAATTTATCATCTAACAAATGGTTTTCTTTGCACCCTGAGTATGTTCCAGACCCTGTTGGTGACCACGTGGTCAGCATAACGGGCACAGTGGGGCAGTGTGTGCACTTGCAGAGCTCATCATCTCGTGATTTGGGAGGGAGCCTGGTGCCCCCTCCAGCACTGACGCCTCCTCCCCACCGCACCTCTTTCAGATCTGTGCCATCATTGGCGGGACCTTCACTGTCGCCGGCATTCTGGACTCATGCATCTTCACAGCCTCGGAGGCCTGGAAGAAGATCCAGCTGGGCAAGATGCACTGACGTTGCGCCCGGCCCAGCGGCCAAGGTCCCGAGGAGGGCCGCCAGCCCCACCTCCAGCACCCTGTCTCCTTTTGCCCTCAGTCTGGCCCGGAATCTGGCTGTGTCCCAAAGAACGTTTGGGAGGTGGGGGGAAGGTAGAGGGTGGCTCAAGGTTTCGCAGCTACCTCTTTTCCCCATGTTTTAGACAACTTGTACCGCCCGAAGTTGTGGTTCCCCTTTCCCTGGGGAGCCCTAAGGCTACAGTCAGGCAAGAAGGACTCCAGGGATATTGGGGACCCCTTCTGGGAGGGCTGCAGTCTCTTCCCTCACAGGGGAACAGCCCAGAATCCACATCAGCCAGCTCTCAGCCAGGCTTTGACAATCTCGCGGGCCCCACCATTTGGACACATTAGTCACTTGGTTTCTTCCCTGGGCAGCCTACCTGCCCCAGACCTGGGCTCTCAGCTTTAGAACTAGGCTGCCCGAAGGTACTCCCACCTGGTGCCTTCAACGAAGGATGGTACTTCCCTGACAAGCCCCTAAGATTTTACAGTATAGAGTGGAAACCCTACTCCTGCCCCATCCCTTTCTGCCCAACCTAGAGCCCAGGCCTCAAGTCCTTTGCCCCATCCCTCTCTTGTTCTTCAGAGAGGCAGATGCCCAGTTGTTTGGCAGCAGTGGTAGAGACTTAAAGCTGCCCACCAGTCACAAGGCAGGTCAGATTCCCCTTCTTCTCTTCTTTTCCTCTGAACCCCCCACCAATGTGCCTCGGCCCCTGTGCTGTGTGGCAACAGCATTTCTTGGTGGAGGGGCTGGTTCCTACTGCCAAGACCCCCCCACCGCTCTGTTGGGATCTGCGGTGGCAAGGGGTGGGGGTTGTGTGACTGGGAAGTCATCCTTTGAGGACCAGATAGACATGGCTCGTGCACTTATGTCCAGATGGAAAGCATCCTTCCTTGCAACCCTAAAATACTCATGCAGCTTCTCCCAGACAGCTGCTGTTGGTCCCAAGGCCTTAGGTCAGGGACGCAAAGCAGGCCAGCCCTTCTCCTGTCTTTGGACCTCCACCTTCTGGGTTCCCGAGGGGTGCAGAGCACTTGGACCTCTCTGCAGCCCGGTTATGGCCCACTTGCCACTGAGCTCTCCCATTGGCTGGCCACACACCAACATGGTCAGGCCCCTGGGGCAGCTCCAGTGTCTCCCCATAGGCCCTGAGGGGGTCCTTATCCTGCTGCCCCCCTTCATCCTTCCCCTTTTGTCCTGAAAGGGAGAGGCAACGGTCCAGGCACAAATTCCACTGGGGGAATTTTAGCTATGCCCTCTTGTCCAGGGAGAGAGCCACCCGTCTGTTTTCCATTTATATCAAGATTGTTTGCATACTTTTGTAATGAAGGGGAGTGTCCAGTGGAAGGATTTTTTAAATTATCTATATGGATAACTCAAGTCCTTGCCATTTGTAATTTTGGTTCTGGATTCCAATTAGAAAAGCTCCTTTTGCATATGAGTTGACTGATGTGAGTGTAAATGCATTTGGTTATTTCTGATATCTGTGGCCACTTGGATGAATTTTTTTTTTTTACATTCTGTTCCCGTTACAGAGAGGAGCCCCTTTGGTGTGTGAATACGTGTGCCTGTAGGGGGTGAGGCAGGGTGGGGTGGGGGCGGGAAATGTGTGGCATGCACATGAGTTAAAATTCTACTTTTATGCATTTTTTTAAAGAAATCTAAGAACATAGGGGATGTCAATTTCCTATGGAAGAGACACCTCTGACCTGTTATTCTTATAAGCAAAATCTCAAGGGAAAAAAATGTTTTAGTTCTTTCCCCACTTACTAGGTTCAAATAGATTAAAAGGCTGATTTTCAGATATATCGCTGTGTGATTCTTTCTACCTTGATTGTGGCTGGGTAGCTCAGAGTCTGGAATCACAGCCAGACTGGAATTTAATTGCGAAGAAGAGAGGATGGACATGTTGGAAAGAAGATCTGTGAAGATGATCAGAAAGTCAAGGCCTCTTGGATTAAGCCCTTCCTTTATTGAATCCCTGCAGAACGTTCTTGGATCTGCCACTTTCTAGCTGTGTGGCCTCAGTCTGCATCCTTAACCTCTCAGTGCCTCAGTTTCCTTCTGCGAAAATGGAGATAGTAATAAAACTACCTCACGAGGCTTTTGTGGAAATAGAGTCTATAATATGTGCAAAGAAATTATATCAGAATGAGATCATGTATGTAAGGGAAATGTTTATTCCTGGAACATGGTCAATTTTCAAAAATGGTGATCATTCCATGTGGGTACTCCCAAATATAATCTGCTCGAGGACAGGGATAACGTTCTTACACAGCTTTGAGCCAAGGGCTCTGTAAATGAAAGGTAATTCATAAATTCTTGATTTCAAAGGACCTGGCACTTCTTTTTCAACTTGAGCTCAATCACCAGCTTCCATGGGTCCTTCCCGTCCTCCAGTCTTCCAGGCCTTCATCAGAACAGCACTAACACGGGCAGGCACACCGGGACGGACGTGAGCGGCATCGGTCTGCAAGAAATCCTTCATCGGTCCTGCCCGTGCTCGCTCTCTTATATCCTGATGCTTGGGTTATGTGTTCCCAAACCTGTTCATGCCAGCTGTGCTCTATACGGTCATGATGTGATTTAGTGAACTATTAAACCAATGAAATAGGATCGAAATATGAACCTAGTAAAACTAAGCTGAATGTTTTGGAGAGACTTGATAAAGGTGAGCTGTCACCCCATCCTCAAAATGCCACTGAGTTAGATGTGGTCAAGACTACTGTAAAAGATTGGGGGGGGGGGGGGGGGTCCTTGAGGATCCTGCATTTACACTGAAAGTGTCCAAGGTCTCACTCCACATTGAATTAAAGAAACCAAAAACTGGAACTCTTCAGTTGGTTTATGTAAGGAAAATGAAGGAGAACTCTAAAAGAGGTTTCTCAGTGGAAAAGCCTTGGCTCAGGGTCAAAAGACTGGCAAATGTGGCTGGGCATGATGGCACACACCTGTAATCCCAGCACTTTGGGAAGTTGAGGTCGGAGCATTGCTTGAAGCCAGGAGTTCGAGACCAGCCTGAGCAACACAGCAAGATCCCATCTCTACAAAAACTACAAAAATTAGCCAGGTGTGGTGGCACATGCCTATAGTCCCAGCTACTCGGGAGACTGAGGTAAGATAATTCCTTGAGCCAAGGAGTTTGAGGTTGCAGTGAGCTATGATAATGCCACTGCACTCTAGCCTGGGCAACAGAGCGAGACCCTGTGTCAAAAAAAAAAAAAAATGGCAAATGTGTTTTGAGTTGACATACAACATTTAAGGGATGGATGTCATTTTTACGATTTCTCCTTTCAATGAACTTTTCCAATTATCTAACCAAATGTGAATTGCAGTGGTTTCCCATAAGAGGATTGCTAAATCAGAATTACGGAGCAAGCCCATAGAAGGGGGGATGACAGATTGGGAGCTGTGGTGGTCCAGGCAGAAATGGCTTCTCCTGGGGAGGTGCTGCAGATGAGATGTTCTTCAAAAGGTGCTTCATGAGGAAAGAAGCTCAAGCGCCGCAGCCCACACTGCCTGGATTTAGGTGGGTATCACAGAGCAGGTGAAGCCTGGGAAGCAGTGGGGTACAGCAATAGGGCTCATAAATGGTAACTGTGGTTAGTTTTTACTACTATATGTTACAAATAATTTTTTTATTCTTGCCAGAAATAATGTGGCAGGCCACTGAAGGTTCCATTCTCTTCTTAAGAAACTGGGTCTTAATCCAGAACTGTGGTCCCCAACCTCCGGGTCATGAACCAGTATGGATTTGTGGCCTGTTAGGAACTGGGCCGCACAGCAGGTGAGCAGTGAGTGAGCTGTGGAAGCTTCATCTGTATTTACAGCCTCTCCCCATCACTCGCATCACTGCCTGAGCTCCGTCTCCTGTCAGATCAGTGGTGGCATTAGATTCTCATAGGAGCTCGAACCCTGCCATAAACTGAGCATGCAAGGGATCTAGGTTGTGTGCTCCTTATGACAATTTAATCTCTGATGATCTGAGGCGGAGCTGAGGCGGTGCTGCTAGCGCTGGGGAGCACCTGTAAATACAGATCATCATTAGCAGAGACATTTGACTGCACAATAAATGTAATGCGCTTGAATCATCCCGAAACCATCCTCCCCACCCCGGTCCACGGAAAAATTGTCTTCCATGGAACTGGTCCCTGGTGCCAAAATGATTGGGGACTGCTGATCCAGAAGGTTCATTAGCTGCTGCAGCAGGTAGATCCAGGAACATAAGGGGGGCACGTGTGGAAGAGAACATTCACTGAAGACCCTTTTCCCTCCCCAGCAGTTGTTTCCTGTTACGTAGTGCTGAGGTCATGTGCTTTGTTCAGACCAGTCATTGGTCACACTGCATGCCAGGCACAGAGTGATTGCTCTTGAAGCCTTATCTTTCTTAGAAGTGGGTATATTTCCTTTTTAGTAAGGAAGAAACAAAGAGACTTAGTAACTTGTCCTGGTCACACAGGTGGTGCAGTTGGAATTCAAACCCAGGTCTGCCTGAATCCAGAGTTACAAAGAATTGTATGGTTCTGCCTCCGTCCTAAGATCATCTTAGCTGTGTCAAAAGGAAAAACTGGAAGTGGAAGTGGTCAGAGCAGGAAGTGCTTTGGTTTGTTTTTGTTTTCATTTTTCCTTTAAAACAACCTGCAGAGACAATCTAAATTGAACATTTGGCAGGGGTGGCCTTCTTAAAAGTTTAAAAACCCTTAAAATGTCATTTTAATTACCCAAATAATACATGCACATAAGCCTACTGGAAGAAAATTATAAAAAATAAAAAGGGAATAATTAGAGTCACCCATAATCCCACCAGAGGTGATCATTTAGTGATCCCATTTTAATGATGCATTTCCATAAACAAAGTGTTCCTATTATTTTGTAGTTTATTTTTTTCCTCACTTAGTAGACATCTTCTTAGGTTAATATATATGGATCTCTTTATTATCTTTATTGTCTACAAGATAAATAATAACCGTATTGAGCATCTAAATCCTTTCTCCCATCTCACTCAGAGCCTCCATTGTCGACTGTGAAAGGGCAGTTCAGAGGGTTAACAGATGAAATGAGGTAAACACAATGCCTGACAGCAAATGCTCAGCCTATTAAGATTAGCCATTATTATTCATTTAATGAATACATTTCTACCATTTATTAAGTTCTTACTCTGTGCCAAGCATTGAGCTAAGGGTTCATTTACTCCTGATACCAAACCAATGCAGTAAGTACTGTCCTTATTTCCATTTTTCAGATAAGAAAAGTGAGTGACCAAGAGGAATATCTTATCCAAAGCCACAGAGACAGTAACTGGTGGAGATGCAAACCCAGACAGGTCGGGTGCCTGCTCATGTACTTCTCCACCATGCAGCCCATTGCCTCAGAGAAATAAAAACATTCACTGGATATTTCCTCTGTGTGAGGTGCTGGGGCTTCTAAACCAGTCCCTGTGTGTGTTTCCAAGGGTGGACATGAGGCAACATAGCCAGTCCCACTCAGTCATTAGAATGAGAGCCTCAGGCTCTTGCCATCTTACCTAATGATGTCATTGTGCCTGTTTTATAATAATTTTACTGAGCCACACAACAGGTAAAGAAATGCCTCCCTTGGCCTGGTTGACCACGGATACTCTCTGACTATCTTGGGTTCTCGAGATCTGTCTTCACATGGCTTTCCTTTGCCAGTGCAGCTCTGTACTTCTTGATTAGGGACCTGATGTCACTCCTCCCCAGATCTCTTTAAGCAAGCCCTGTACCTGGCTCCATAATAAATTAATGAGCGAATGAATGAACGTGCAAATGAACAGAGGTGTATGACAATAAATGAATGTGTGATAGAGACATGAGTAAATGAACAGACAGCCAGTGAGTGAATGAATGAATGAATGAATGAACTCCTTAAGGGAGGTGGGGGACGGCTCTGATGAGCACTGTAAGGACTGCTCTGAGGAGGCCCTCTGACCTCTTCTGCGTGTACCCAGTCATGCCAGCATCTGCTCCTGGGTTGCTGATGGGAAACGACTTCCTTTCTTAGGACTGCCCCCACCCTCCTTACCCCTGGAGCCTGGGCACACTCACAACTGGGTGGCCTTTCAGTTGCTATCGCCTCAACAGCTTTGACTCTGCTTGCTCTACTGCCGGAGCTTCTGCAAACAGCCCGGCTATGGCCATCCTCCAAAGGTCTCCAACACTGACTGCAGAGGGTCTGCAATAAAACCTAAAATAGGGCCCAGAAGGTCCAGGATCAACCCAGAAGCGCTGGTTGATCCTGAGTATTGGTAGGTGCTGGTGTTTAACAATTACCCCACCACACCACGTGTCAAGGAACACTAATAAACTAGGAGACAGCATGGGACCTGCCTGAGTCTGGCTATTAGACTTTGGGGAAGAAAACTCCCTGAGTTTCAGGGTCCCCATGTGTTTTAGTTTTGTTTTCTTTTGTTTTTTCCATACAGAGAAAAAGACCAGCCCCACGTGTTAACTGAGCATTCCAAACTCATATCCGGCATCTGGCACAAAGTAGGCCTTCAACAGATACGGAATGAATGAATGAAAGGGAGGGCTGGAGCTAATGAACGAGTAATACCCTGCACAGAATCAGCCCCTTGGGCCCCTAACTTGAAGACAGAGCAAAGGCTCAGGGCCCTTTCCTTCCCTCCCCGACGCCACAATGCCCAAGGAGGGGACCTCTCACGTGGTTAGTGCCTCCCGCACTGCGCAGCGGGGACCCAAGACCTTCCATATCCAGGGTCCGCAGGGTGTCTCAGCCTGACTAGCCAACGGGTGGGTAGGGGGGCCGGAGTGGGCGGGGCGGCGGCCACAGGCCCACCGGCTTTCCTCGGCGGCGGAAGAGTCCCAGGGCGAGTTCAGAGCATGGGGGTGGCACGCCCCAAGCTCTAGCCAGCGTGGCGCATTGCACGTGTTTATATCAAACACAGAAGGCTTACAGTTTGCGTCATCGGGAACTGATAATAAAAGCCTGAGTGTGAAGACTCTGGTAAATGCGAGGCCGGCCTTAGCACTGTCCTGGAGCAAGCCCCACAGAAGCCTTCCCTTTTGTTAGGAGTAATGGGCGACTGTAATCGAGTGCTATGTGCCAGGCATGTTCTAAACCCTCTAAAAGGATTAACTCATTTAATCTTCATAACAACCCTATGAGACACCCTACTAAAATCACGGACAGTGTGCCTATTAAAAGAACGCCAATAAGCCTCTACTGCAAACCCTACAAAAGGAGGCCCTTATCCTCAGAGGCGCCAGCTCTTCCGGTTTCCCAGCATGGCGCAGCCTAGCGCTCCCAGGGCCCCCAGGAACAAGGCGCTGCGATCCCACCCCAAGCCGCAGGGGGCGCCATTCTGCTTCGTTCCGACGGGAATGGGTCACCGGTATCTTTCTGCGCTTGCGCGGCAAGACACCTACTTCCGGTCCTGCGCGCTCGCTGCCCGAGTCCGTGCGGCGCCAAGTAGGTGAGCAGGAGCTATCATTTTCGCGGACTCTGAAGACCCCCCCCCCCCCGCGCCGACCTCCTGGGACCTTTCCTTCCTGTGTCGCGGAGCCACGCGGCATCCCAGCGCTCTGTGCGTGAACCCTCACCTGTCCATTCTTCTCCAGCCCGAACATTCCTCTCTCGGCCTCAAAGACCTAGGGCCGCCTTCTCCCTACGACCCCTTTGGTCAGGCATGCGCTGCCCGCGCACATCTTATCTATGTAACACTCAGGCCACTCGCGTGCCCCATCCCCCCTCAGTCGCCTTCTTCCGGGGCCACTTTTCTCTATAGAGCATTTGCACAGGGATGGGGAGGAGTGTCTTGGATGGAGAATGGGCCCCTGTACCCCACTGAGCGCCCCCCTTCACTCCTCTCCCGTTCTTTGCAGTCACCATGAAGTTCAATCCCTTCGTGACTTCGGACCGAAGCAAAAACCGCAAACGCCACTTTAATGCCCCCTCGCACGTGCGCAGGAAGATCATGTCGTCCCCGCTCTCCAAGGAGCTACGGCAGAAGTACAATGTTCGCTCCATGCCCATCCGCAAGGACGATGAAGTCCAGGTGCGTCTTCCTCGTGCTCTAGATGACCAGTATCGTGGTGCTGAGGCACCGCCTTTGCCTGAGAACGTGGCGTGTACTTGGTGGTGGAAGAGTCACAGACTTAAATGCCTCAGCACCCTGGCAAGTAGTGTGACCTTTGTCAGGTGTGTTAGGCTGGAGACGGGGTCCAGAGCCACCGGAGGGTGCCTGCACTGCTTCAGAGTATTCACTTTAACTGCAGTGGTAAAGACTGTGTATATGTATGCGTATGTAGTACGCCAGCCAAGCAAAGATCAGCTTTTGATTTAGCTCCGTGGCTGCTAGCTTGCCAAGTATTGTTCAGGGTGCCTCTTTCAACCAGACTTTGCAAAGGAAAGTGTAACAGTGAGAGTAGTGTTTTAGCATCTTTATTTAGTGGAGTTGATGGATAGGGATTTTGGGGAGCTGGGCATGTGATGGTACTGGATTTGGCAGCAAATCAGAGGTTCAAAATTATGAAAGTAGGGCCCATGTGAGAAAGTGACAGCCCTCTGTTTTCTGTGACTGGAGCTTAGGATGTGTGGGAGAGGGAAGGGACTTGGGTGTAAGTGAAAAAAGCAAGGACTAGATTCACTTGCTTGAAGAAATATTTATTGCTCACTTACCAGACATCGTTCTAGACACTAGCAGTGAACAAGACTGACACAGAGGACCTTGCTCTCATGGGGCTCACAGTTTAGAGCAGGGTTTCCCAACCTCAGCACCATTAACATTCTGGACCGAATAATTGTGAAGGAGCTGTCCTGTGCGTTGTGGAATGTTTAGCAACATGCTTGGCCTCTCCCTACTAGATGCCATTAGCACTCCCCCCAACTCCCACTTCATGGTTGTGACAAGCAAAAATATTTGCAGATATTACCATATGTCACCTGGTGATCAAAATCAACTCTCCCTCCCCCAGTTGAGAACCATTGTTTTAGAGAATGAGTTGAGATAAGGCGATGAAGTTTGGTGTATCATCTGAGACACTGGGACTCTTCGAAGATTTAAGGGACGTGTTGAGGGAAAGATTTGAAGCAGGGGATGAGTTAGGCTCAGAGTGTGACAGGAATTGAGTGGAAAGAGTAGTTCAGAGGTTTGATCAACAATTTCAACCTCTTCTTTGTTGGATCTTTCCCATCAGAATGTTCTAGAATGGGGGAATTGCAGATATCTATAGAGGCAAGGTAGGCAAATTAAGTAAGGGAAGTGAGCTGATAAGAAAGTGGCAAACTGGAACGTTCATGCCGCTTTTAAAGGAGATAATCATGTACTTTTAGCCTGCTGCTGTCATGGGGAAATGCAGGCTCATCGTTGTCAGATTCTTGGATTTTCAAAGAGAACTGGAAAATTTGGGTTAATTTCCTTCCACCTACTACTTCCTGTTCCCTATTCAGAGCCAAGCTCCTTAAGAGTTGCCTACACTTCTTCACCTCCATTTATTCATGGACACTCTTCAGTCTGATCCCTGTCCCCGCTACGTTATATAAATTCCTTTGGCTGAGATCACCAATAGGTAGTGTCTATTCTCAGAGGTTTAAATGCCTGTTGTATGCTAACAACTCCCTCTTTTATATCCCAGTCCAACCACTTTCCTGAGCACAGACCTGAGTCTACCTGTTGAACATCTCTATTTAGATGTCTCATTGACACCTCAAGATTCTTACCCAAGAGTACTGTTGATCCCAACACTCCCACTGTCTCCAGTATCTGATTCTCCTCCCATCTTCCACATTTCTGAGTTGCATATGCCATAAACCTTTACATTATCTTTAATAACTCTGCTTCACTCCCCCTTCTAATCTACCACAAACAAAGCCTTGTTGATTCTACCTCCATAGTAAGTCTTGAACCTACTTCCAATTCAGTTCAAGGCAGCATCCAGCTTCCACTGTTACCCTTGTCCATTCTCCACAGAGTGGTTTTATTTGCAAATCAGGTTCTACTAAAAACCTACCAATGGTGCTTGATGTGTTTGTAAAACCTAAAATCATTGATTACAAAGTCCTGTGTGATCTAATCCTAGTCTACTTCTCCAACCTCATCTCCTCCTACTAACCCCACATGCTGTACACTTCAGCCACACTGGCCTTCTCAGGTCTTTAAATATACCTTGATCTTTTCTCTCTCTGGTTCCTTCCCCAGAATGTTCCCTCTGACTGGAGTTCCCTTTCTTCTCCCTTGTACCTGGCTAATGCCTATTTTTCAGGTTTTATCTTAAATGTCAGGTCCTCAGAGAAGCCTTCCCAGGTCCTTTAATCAATATTATAGCATAGTATCCTTTATCTTCATAGCAATGAACATAATTTGAGATCATTGTATTTTTTTTTTTTTTTTTCTCTGTTGCCCGGGCTAGAGTGAGTGCCGTGGCGTCATCCTAGCTCACAGCAACCTCACACTCCTGGGCTCAAGTGATCCTACTGCCTCAGCCTCCCGAGTAGCTGGGACTACAGGCATGCGCCACCATGCCCGGCTAGTTTTTTCTATATATTTTTAGTTGTCCGAGTAATTTCTTTCTCTTTTTAGTAGAGACGGAGTCTCGCTCTTGCTCAGGCTGGTCTCGAACTCCTGAGCTCAAACGATCCTCCCGCTTCGGCCTCCCAGAGTGCTAGGATTACAGGCGTGAGCCACCGCGCCTGGCCTGAGATCATTGTATTTTTAACTGAACTATAATTTACATACAACAAAATACACAGGTCGGTTTTGGCAGATATAAAGTCAGGTTGCTATTGCCCTCATTATGACAGAAACTATTTTTATCATCCCAATAAGTTGCCATGTGCCCTGTGCCAGTTAGTGATCGTATATTTGTATATTTACTTGTTGACTGCTTACTAGCCATCAGACTAAGCTCTACGAGGCCAGAGAGCTTGTCTTGTACTTGTTGCCTAACCTCAGTGCAGAGCCTGGCACTTAGTGGGGGTGGGGTTCAGTCAATATTTGTTGAACGAACGAAAAAATTATTGAGTAGATGGTGGAAGATGAGATAAAGGAGGGTAAGGGAGAAAGAGCTGCCATTTTTGAATGCCCAAGAGGTATGAATTGCTTCCTTCAAAGGCCATACTGGATAAACACTTCTCCACCAGGAGCATAAAATAGCCCCACTTGGGGCCAGGCGTGGTGGCTCACGCCTGTAATCCTAGCACTGTGGGAGGCCGAGGTGGGTGGATCGCTCAAGGTCAGGAGTTCAAGACCAGCCTGAGCAAGAGTGAGACCCCCGTCTCTACTAAAAAATAGAAAGAAATTATCTGGACAACTAAATATCTATATAGAAAAAATTAGCCGGGCATGGTGGCACATGTCTGTAGTCCCAGCTACCCCCTACCCCCCTACCTCGGGAGGCTGAGGCAGTAGGATTGCTTGAGCCCAGGAGTTTGAGGTTGCTGTGAGCTAGGCTGACGCCACGGCACTCTACTCTGGCAACAGAGTGAGACTCTGTCTCAAAAAAAAAAAAAAAATAGCCCCACTTGGGTTTGTTAAAACTGCCTCTTCTCTTTTGGGATCTGAATCTCACTTACCTTCCTCTTTCTCTAAGTAGGTGCCAGTTCCTCTTACTTTACAGAGAAAATTAAAACTATCAGCCAGGAACTTTCTGAACTCCTGGCTCCATACCCACTGACTTACCTGCAGTTCTACCTCTCTTGTCCTTGTTCTCCCCTGTTGCAATAAAAGAGATGTCCCTATTTTTGTCTATACTTGATCTGTCTATCCCTGTGTACTGCAGTTCTCTCTCTCTCCTCTCGGAGATCTTTCTCTCCATTATCCCCTTTCCGTATAGTTCTTTTACCCTCTTTCTCCATACTTGTTTCTGCCCATCAGCATTTAAACACATTCATGTTTTCTTTTCTTTAAAAATAAAAGGCTGGGCACAATGGCTCATGCTTGTAATCCTAGCACTCTGAGAGGCTGAGGTGGGAGGGTCGCTTGAGGTCAGGAGTTCGAGACCAGCCTGAGCAAGAACGAGACCCCATCTCTACAAAAAATAGAAAAATTAGTGGGGCGTGGTGGTGCATGCCTGTAGTCCCAGTTACTAGGGAGGCCGAGGCAGGAGGATCACTTGAGCCCCGGAGTTTGAGGTTGCAGTGAGCTATGATCATGCCACTGCACTGCGGCTGTGGCAGCAGAGCGAGACTCTGTCTCAAGTAAGTAAAGTTCCCTTAATTTCACAATTTCATATCCCCCTCGAACAACTGTCTACTCTTCAGAACCATGCTCCTTGGGACTCTATTCTCACCTTCACCTCCCCAGGGTATTCTTTGCCTTACTGTAAATGGCTTCCATTCCACCACTTCACTGGAAGCATCCCAGCCACAGCCACTAGTGACCACTTTGTTGTCAAATCTGTTAAATACTTTGTCTTTCCTATATTTGATGGTTCCACAGCATTTGACATTCTTCTCTTGGCTACTGTAACCACACACCCCCACGGTTTCTTGTTCTTTCTGACCACATCACCCTCTTATAAGCTCTTCCAAAATGTTGGTTTTTCTCATATTTCTGTATTCTGCCCTTTTCTCATATTACCAGCTCCTTGAGCAAAATGAGGCTTCAAATTGCATCCATGAATGACTCCCACATCTCTTGCTGGCTTGGTTGGCCTTCCAGCTGTATATGGAATTCTCTGTTAGAATGTCCCCAGATTCCTCAGATTCATCATGTTCCAAACTAAACTGTTTCCTCCTAAGATCTGTTTACTGCCCCGTGTTCCCTGCCTCTGCGAAGGCATATCCATCCATCCGCTTGCCCAGGCGAGGCTCTGAGTATCACCCTTGCTCCTTCACCCTCACCTTTCCAGTCTAGTTGATTTAGCTTTATCCCATCTCCCTCCTCACCGGGTCTGTAGGTTGTTCTGTTCCTTTGGACTTGTTTTTTTTTAACATCTTTCTTCAGTCTCGATGCTAGTTAACAGGGGGTTTTTCATAGACTACTTCCAGGTGTGTCCCGGGAGTCTCTGGCCATGAGGAGTACGGTAGATTTTTCAATGAGGCATGACTGTCGTCTTTTCAATCAAAAATTGCCTTGGAAAATGAGCTGAACAACCTCGGTAGACATTTTAGGAGTATTGGGATTCTCTAGTTCTTTATATCTGTTATTTCCTCTAAGCTTATTAATCAGTGTCACATTGTGCCTGCTATTTAACAGGCTATTGCCTTTGGGGAAGCCACAATCTAGTTGGTTTTTGAATAGAGTAGATTTTTAGTCCAGGGAAACTGTCCGTAAGATTTTAATTTAATTTTTTGATTTTTTTCCTGACGATAAAATATTTGTATTAATTGTAGAAATCTCAAAATTTAGAAGGACATAAATTTTAGAAATCATCTGTAATTCTGCCTCCTGCCTAATGGCAGCCATTATCAATATTTTCATCCCATCATGTTACATGCTGTGTATATGAAACGTGTGTACCTACAGGTTGAGCATCCCAAAATCTGAAATGCTCTAAAATTCGGAACTTTTTGAGTACCAACATGATACTCCAAGGAAATGCTCATTGGAACATTTTGGATTTCAGATCTTTAGATTTAGGATGCTCAACTGGTAATGCAAATATTCTAAAATCTGAAACACTTCTGGTCCCAAGTATTTTTTTCTAAGCTCATTATCTTGAGCATTTTCCTAAGTCATAAAGTATTTTTTGAAGACATGTATTTTAAATGGTTGCATGGTAGTCTCAGTATAATTTCTTTAACTATTCTTCTCTATATTGTCATTGAAAATAATTACTTTTTTTAAATTCAGGACTACTTCTGTGATGACCATCCTAATTCAAGGAATTTTTTTTGTTCTTCATGTAAGAGAGAAAATTCAGGTGAAAAATTTCCACCTGACCTTGTATAACACAATGCAAATTTATACCACAAAAATAGCTGACATTTGAGACCAGGCACAGTGGCTCACGCCTATAGTCCCAGCACTCTGGAAGGCCAAGGTGAGAGGATTGCTTGAGCTCAGGAGTTTGAGATCAGCCTGGGCAAGAGCAAGACCTCATCCCTACTAAAAGTAGAAAAATTAGCCAGGTATAGTGGTGCACACCTGTAGTCCCAGGTACTTAAGTGGCTGAGGCAAGAGGATTGCTTGAGCCCAAGAGTTTGAGGTTGCAGCAGCTATGATGATGCCACTGCACTCTGAAAGACCGACAGAGCAAGACTCTGTCTCAAAAAAAAAAAAAAAAAATAGCTGACATTTGATAGCAGGATTAATACGGTTTTGTACAAAAAGTTGTGTGTTTAGCCTAAGGGTTCATGATTATTAGCTTCCTCATGATCATGCATTATAAATGGGTAGAAAATATTTTTATATTTTTTTCTTAGGTGGTTCGAGGACACTACAAAGGTCAGCAAATCGGCAAGGTAGTCCAGGTGTACAGAAAGAAATACGTCATCTACATTGAGCGGGTGCAGCGTGAGAAGGCTAATGGCACAACCGTCCACGTGGGCATTCACCCGAGCAAGGTGTGGTCCAGAACCAAGTGGTGGTAGCAGCCATATAGTGTAGCATTACTGTTATGGTACTGCCTGCGTGGGTGGCCAAGATAAGGGCTTCCAGAGGTAGGCCAGGCAGGCTCGATTGATTTGGTGGCTTGATGATGTCATCAAGGATCCAGATTCTCTCTTTGTCTGTTTTGCCATCCTTGGTGATAGCTCTGTCTTCAAACTGGTGGCACTTCTCCACTATATAATATTCAGATAGAAAAGAGAGAATATCTTGCTAGCCGAGGGATGATGAACAAATTTTCCCAACCCAAATGAAATTTGATACCACTAAACTATGTAACTGTTCTCCCGAGATCCTCAGGAGTTGGGGGGTGGGGTGGAGGTTTGGATAACAGAAGAAGGAGCCCAAACTGCTGTTGTCCAAGGGAAGCTTTACCATACAGGATGATTCTGGTTATAAGTCCCTTTCCATTCATGACCAATCTGAGCAACATAGCGAGACACCGCCTGCCCCACTGTCTCTAGAAAAAGATTAAAAACTATCCACGTGTGGTGGTGCGTGCTTGTAGTTCCAGCTACTCGGGAGGCTAATGTGAGAAGATCATTTGAGCCCAGGAGTTCAGAGTTACAGTGATCTGTGATCATACCACTGTACTCCAGTCTGGGTGAGAGAGCAAGAGCCTGTCTCTTTAAAAAAAAAAAAAAAAGAGCCCTTTCCACTTACAAAATAAGTAAATAAAGACCTATTTTCTCTCTTCTAATAGGTGGTTATCACCAGGCTAAAACTGGACAAAGATCGGAAAAAAATTCTTGAACGCAAAGCCAAGTCTCGACAAGTTGGAAAAGAAAAAGGCAAATACAAGGAAGAACTTATTGAGAAAATGCAGGAATGAATATAATCTTTGTGCAACCATGGTTTAACTGTAGATTTTTAGCCTAGTGTGTGTTTCTTTGGAACTGTTCAAAAATATCTCTGGAACATTCCATTTCCCTCCTGTTTTGTTGTTGACCTGTAGTCTGTAAGTCTGCTTTTGCAATTTTGATTAATAATTTTATGAATAAAAATTGAAAATGTTTCCTAGTTCCAAATAGTATTTGTATTGTTTGTAAATAAAATCCATCTTATTACCTATTCCCCCTTGCCAGTCTTTCATGTTTATTGCGTTTAATGTGTGGAGCAGCAAAATAGCAGTGGTGAAGTCAAGAGGCCCTGCTCTGCCTGGCCCCTCGTGCTGGTGCGGGGAAAGGGCAGGGCTCCAGTCCCTGATACGGGGGTGTGCGTACTCACGGGCCCCACACAGTGTGTGCTGCTTTGCTCTCATGTCTCTCAGGCCTGACGCTGTTCTCTGGCCTCCTGACTTGTGTCTCCCCAGCTTTCTCTCGCTCATGCACCAGCCAGACCAAATCGTGCGGCTCCCCCACCAGGCTCCCCTTCCCAGGGTCTTCACTTTGCAAGTGCTGTTTCCATGTGACTCAAATGCCCTTCTCTTCTGGAGCTGAGAAAAGTGTGTGGGCAAGATTTGACTCACAGATTTTGTTTGTCGTTATATTTTTATAATTAAAAAAAATTTCACCATTTAAAACGTGGGAGACTCCACAGATTCCACCTGCTTTGCCTGGCTGCATAGAGCCCTGTGCCTGCACAGCATCAGGGGGAGCCGGGGGCTGGCTGCTCCCTATGCCACCCGCTCCACCCCTGTACTTCGCGTCTGAGTTTCAGGTCTGTCTGCTCATTCTTCAAGATTTAGATCCAGGGCCATATCTAAAATCTTCCCCTGCCCCTGTGAAAAATAATTTATTGATTAAAGTATATCAAATAGCCTTCTATGTCTTTCCAGTAACAGCTTATCTGACACAACTGGATTTTCTTTTTCTTTTTTTTTTTTTTTGAGACAGAATCTCACTGTGTTGCCCAGGCTAGAGTGCCGTGGCATCATCCTCGCTCACAGCAACCTCAAACTCCTGGGCTCAAGCGATCCTCCTGCCTCAGCCTCCCGAGTAGCTGGGACTACAGGCATGTGCCACCATGCCCGCTAATTTTTTCTATATATTTTTAGTTGTCTGATTAATTTCTTTCTATTTTTAGTAGAGACAGGGTCTCGCTCTTGCTCAGGCTGGTTTCGAACTCCTGAGCTCAAACAATCCGCCCGTCTCAGCTTCCCAGAGAGCTAGGATTACAGGCGTGAGCCACCGCGCCCGGCCTGGATTTTCTTTATAAATGTTGATTGAATCAGGGTGGTTTTTTCCATTTGGACTGCTAAAGTGAACTTAGCTTAACAGTCCAAATCACAAGCGGCATAAGAGATGAAGTCAAGATTTGAACTTTGACCTGATGACATCAAAGGTCATTCACTTCCCACTTTAGCCAGCTGTCTCTGGTTTTCCTTCCTTTACTCTGTCAGCCTTTTATTCGAGTCTGATAAGTGTCCGGATGTTTGTGTGGATCAGACAAGGACCTACATGTCTGCAGCAGGAACGCTGCTTAGCGGGAAAAGCATCACCAGCTATCAAGGTCTAATCCCAGCTCTGCCACTGGGTGGACATCAAGCTTTGAGCAAGTTACTCATCTCTGGCCTTCTATTTTCTCAATAGTAAAACATAATAATACCTACTCTGCCTTCCTATTTCATGAAAAATGTAAAGATAAAACGCCAAGATCAAATGGGATATTTCTGAGCATACTTTGAAAGCTGTGATTATACAAATGTTAATATCACTACATTGTTCAGTTCACTTGTATTTCCAATTCTGACATTGACTCTACACTCAAAAGAGGCAATGATTTTTCACGAACAATCAGATCACAACCTACAGAACTCAAGATGTGTTCTGTGAGTTGGCATTGGTTTAAGGGTAGACAGAATGATACTGTCCTGGCTCCAAATCTTTTTGGAGCCAAAAATATTTGGATTCAAATCCTGCTTGGGGGCCGGGGGTCACTTTTATTTCCCTCTGTTTTCCTACATATGTAAAAAGCCAGAAATGCTTATCTTCAAGGTTGTGAAAACTGAAGTAGCAGTCCACCAGCCTCACCTGCTCTTGGGTGCTTGCTAATATTAGTCAGCACCCTCTTGCCTAGAGATTCAGTGATGTAGTGGGCCCAAAGTGAGATATGTATATGTGTATTTCTCACATGGACCTTGTGTAATTCTTACAACTGGGTAAATCTGGAAAACGATCAGGACGAATGTAAAGTATATACACAGCATATAAAATAGAATAGGTACCCACTACACAGCAGCTATGTAATTATTAACATGCTGAGGTTAACCAGTAAATTCTGTAGTTTGTATTTTCCAATTTGAGTTTTTTCTTTATTCTCAACCAACACATGTTCTAGGACTCCAAAAGTTGCATGATGATTTCATACTAGATTAAATTTATAGCTCCTTACTGTATATTCTGATACCTGATCTGAGCTCTAGGCTCCAGCCATTAACTTTCATCAGTAAATTTAAATTATGATCTCTCCTAGGAATTAGAGTTGGCTTGTTTTCAGCAACTTATTCCAATACAAATGATAGATAAGAGCTTTGAGAGCTGTAATCCTCCCACAGGCATCCAAATCATACCAGACTGTTTATGCTGAGCCAAGTGAATAATAGTGCATGATCAAGAATAGGAACTTGGCCTTAATTTGAGTTCTAATCCCAGGTCTGTCAGTTCCTAGCTGTGTGACTTTGGGTAAATTGCTTAACTTCTCTGGGCCTCAGTTTTGTCATTTATAAAATGGAGATAAAATTAGTACCTACCTCATATGGTTGTCAGACTTATCACTTGAGATACTGTTCGGAAAGCACAGAGCACTCAGGAAATTATAACTATTGTCTTTTAGAGGAGATTGGCTCTGGGTTTGTTCACAGGAGCAGAGGGAAAGGTTTTTCTCCAGAGAGTTCTGACAAATGCTGTTTCTTGAATGAAGGGGAGGGTTTAAGGGCAGCAGTGATGTGTTTTGGCAGCTGCAGAAAATAGGGACTGGAGAACGCCAGACGGGTGGGCCTGCCTATCAAGGTTCAGGTCCCAGAGTACTAGCTTGTTTCCCAGAATGACTGAATTAAACAGTTTCCGACTGACCTTTTCATCAAATTTGCAGATGTCCATTCCCTTGAGTGAGCCCTCTTGTGCTATTTTGGGAAAATGCCAAACTTTTTTTTTTTTTTTTTTTTAAGCACGAAATGAGATTTATTGAGGAGAGAAAGAAAGGATTATAGAGCGAGAGCAAGCTCTAGGTTTACGGACTAAGAGCAAGATAACGTTCGCCACAGAACGGCGAACGGGCCTCCTGTCATAACAAAAAGGCCGAAGATGCCGAACTTCTAAACTTCAGATAACTGCTTCTGAACGTGTGCTTTCATACTGCACTCAGGCATGCGACATTCAGCCGCACAGCTTTCCATATGAGCTGGGTAGGCAAGTAACCGAATATTCCAGGAACCACACAGCACTCTACTAACCGAGGGTCCACCACCCTCTGCTGATGCCACAGACTTTAAGCAGGTCCTATCTGGTGTTGACTTGGGTCTTTGTTCTTTTAGTTTTTGTTTAAAGATAAGTAATACCTGTTAACATTAATCTATTGTACATTTCAAAATAGCTAAGAGAACAATTCAACTGTTCCTAGCAAAAAGAAAAGATAAATATATAAGCAATGTGGGGATTTGGAAAGAAATATTTCTACAAAGAAAATAAAGTAAAAAGATTAAATAAAAATTATAAAAGAAAAGATAAATATTTAAGGTGATAGATAGGCAAATTGCCCTGCTTGATTATATGAATGTATCAAATGATCACATTTACCTCAAAAATATGTACATCTATTATGTATCAAGAAAAAATAAATAAAAATACCAAAAAGATAAGTAATATTTATATACAGTTCAAAATAAAAAGGTAAAAGAAAGTAAACAGTAAAAAACAAGTTTCCTTGTCCCCTTGACCCTCAATCACTCAGTTCTCTCCAAGAGGTAGTCACTGTCACCAATTTCTTTTGTATCCTTCCAGAAATAGTCTATGCACATACAACTGGATATTTATTGAAAGTTCAATCCATGAAGAAGTCTTTGAGAGAAAAGCAGGTCGTCCAAATTTAAACGGCCATATAAGGTTAATTCATTGCCTGAACACCATAATTACAACATAAAGATGCACAGAGACTAGCCTTAAAAATAAAAAAAATGCACAGATATAAAATAAAATGTTCTTTGTCCATCAGAAAAAACTAAATCGACCACATCCCAGCCTAATCCTAGCATGAGGGCAGCTAGTTCTAGAACAGACTTTCAAAGGTCTCATGCAGTCAATATCTCTGTCTTGTAAAGTTGTGTGCAATTTCGTTTTTTCCTATGCTAACACATTACTTGAACTAGGGGAGACAGCATAGATTAGTCGGAAGAACAGGAGCTATGAAGAGCTGGGTTCGGATTAAAACAGCTATACTTTGGACAAGTTACAAATCCGAGCCTTTCTTTTTTCATATGTAAATTTAATAATATCCATATCAGGCATTGTGAGCATTAAAGGAGACCAGATAATTCAAAGCATCTAGTTCAACGTCTGGCACGTGGCAGTCACTCCAGCAGTGGTGGCTGCTGCGTCAGCGGTGGCCGTCCACAGTGCACTTTCCATGCACTTATACCGAGCAGATGACTAGTGAATCAGCTTCTCCAGTAACTTCCAAGCCCCCAGATTAGCTTGGAAAGGAGCTTTATTTTTCCTCCCTAGCTGGCTGAGGCTTTAATTTTGGAAAACCAATTTAATTGGGTTTTAGTTGAGGGCATGGCCAAGAGTGGTATCCCATGCACTACCCCCACCCCCACCAAGGGTATGCTGAGGGCTAGGACTGAGCCTCAGGCGAGTTTCCTGTTCCCTGCGCTCGCCTGCACAGCTGCCTCCCCCATGAGCTCTGGGGCAGCCACAGGAGGGGATAGGCTGGGAGGGGTTGCAGTGGCCCTTCACTTGGGCAGGACATCGGAGGTCTCAGACGCCAGCTTCCCATGGCAGGTGTGAATCTTCTTCACCACCATGGCTGGCTATGGAGCAGCTGGTGCGGCTGGAGGAGCTAGAGCCCCCACTAGAGCCAAAGCTGGGCTGGAGGGAGCTCAGGCCATAGTCGAGGCCAGAGCTTGTGAGGCCCATGCAGGCTAACCAAGCCCGGCCCACCTGAGTAGCCACTGGTGGTCTTCATGTGGATACTCATTTTCTGCATCCCAGACTCCAGCTGGCTCTCCTTGCCCTCCAGAAGGTTACAGTAGGTGGCAATCTTGATGTCCAGGGCCAGCTATATGTTGATCAGTTTCTGGTACTCGCAAAGCTGCTGCACCATGTCCTGCTTGGCTCCCTGCAGAGCGGCCTCCAGCTCCACCAGCTCAGCATTGGTGGCCTTAACAGCCAGCTCCCCAGGCAGCTTGGCATCCTCAATGGTGGCCTCCAGAGAAGCCCTCTGGCCTTTGAGGTCCTCAGCCTGCAGCCAGCTGACGTTCCAGTTCATGTTGGAGATCTCCATCTTCATGAGCCGCAGGTCTCCCTGTGCTTCCCAGCCAGTGTCTGCAGCTCCTCATACTTGATTGGGCACACGCTCTCAGCCTCAGCCGCCCTGGGGTTGGCGACCTCCTCCTTCTGGGCTTGAACCTTGGTGACGATGCTGTCCATGTCCAGGAAGCAGCTGTTGTCCATGGACAGGATCACAGATGTGTCCGAGATGTGGGACTGCAGCTTATGGATCACCTCTTCATACAGCTGCCTGGGGAAGTTGATCTCGTCAATCAGCCCCTCCAAGCAAGACTCTGGCTCTACCTTGTTCATGTAAGCTTTGTCCATATCCTTCTTGATAAGGGCAAATACATTCTCCATCTCTGTATGCTTGTTGAGCTCATCCTCATACTAATTCTTGAAGTCTTACACCAGCCCCTGCATGGTGCCAAACTCCGCCCCAGCTTCAGCTTCCCCAGGCCCAGTGTGTCCAGCCGCCACAGAAGGTCATTGATGTAACTCTCAAACATGTTGTTCATGTTGCTCCAAGCTGCCTTTTGCTGTTTCAGTAGGCTCCACTTGGTCGCTAGCGTCCTGTTTTACTGCTCCACGAACTGCACCGTGTCAATGAAGGAGACAAACTTGTCAAGGGTCTTGATCTGCTCCTTCTCCTGGGTGCACATGGCCTGGATGTTGGAATCTGCCTTCAGCTTAAGAGGGCTCAGCAGGCTCTGGTTCACCATGCTGGCTGTGATGCCCCTGGCCCTGGCATAGCCCCGACCCAGACACATGCCAGTGCCTAGGCCATCCCAGAAGCTGCTGCTGCTGCCCCCCCAGGAGAAGCTTGAGAGCCGATACAGGCACCGGGCCCATTTGTGTACAAGCAACTGCTGAAGGCCCAGGGGCCAGGGGTGGCCACTTGTAGGACTTTGGGGCCACCCTGACGGACATGGTGGAGACCGGAGTGGAGGCAGGTGAGCCAAACCAGACAGATATTCAAGAAGGAGCCGAGAAGCTGCTTCTAGTGACAAGGAGCTTTATGACTCCATAGCTTTGTGACTCTGCGTGCCTGTTCTTATTTAGGGGATGGGCTTAGGAAAGAGGAGTTCCTCAGCTGGTTTCACCATAGGACTTCAGTCAGCTGTTGTCCAGGGTTGCCTCTGAGGTTTTTCCTCTAGTAGTACTTCTCAAACTTTTTAATCTCAAGACCTGCTTACACTTTTAAAAATTATTGAGGACCCAAGGATCTTGTATTTATGTGGGTTATAGCTATTGATATTTGCCACATTAGAAATTAAAACAGGCTAGGTGTGGTGGTGTGTACACCCAGCTACTCAGGAGGCTGAGGCAGGAGGATCGCTTGAACTCAGGAGTTCCAGACCAGCAATGGGCAACACAGTGAGACCCCATCTCTAAAATATAAAATAAGACAAAAAGAAATTAAAACATAAAATTTTAACATATTTATTCTAAATTCATTTAAAAAGAGCAATAATAAACCCATAACATGTTAACATAAGTAACATTTTTATGGAAAATAACTAACTTTTCCAAAAGAAACAAAAAATGTAGTGAGAAGAGTGACATTGTGTTACATTTTGGCAAAATTCTTTAACGTCTGGCTTACTACAAGACAAATGAATTTTCATAATGCTTCTGCATTCAATCTGTTGTGATGCTGTTTTGGATGAAGTATAGAAAGAAAATTCAGCCTCACACTGATTCAGTTAGAAAAGACCTACTGGGAGAATCTTAGGGACTCCCCAGGGGTCCTTGGACCACACTGCTCAGAGTCTGATTTATTCCCTGAAGACTTTAAGCACCTTGAGGGCAGAGAATATTTCTTCTTTGGTGGGTCACTGAATCTGGACAGTTTTCATTTGGAACGTGGGATAAAATGTTTTTGACAGATTGACTGATAGAGGGTGCTATTGGCCAATAATAGCCCACGAATATGCTACTGAGATATTAACTTTTCTCATTTCACAGATGATGAAACTGACAGATTTAGACAGAATTGGTGCTGAAGAGTTACAGCCCTGCACTTCCCGACATTTCTTCTCAAAAGGGCTGCCTAGAAAGTGTCAAAGGTTGGATACTCTACTTAAAGGGATCAATTTAAGAGAAAATGTTTTCATTTATTTAAGAAATGGGAAAGAATTCACAATTGCTAAAAACTGGAAGCAACCCAAATGTCCAGGATGGATAAATGAATAAACAAAATGTGGTATATACGTGGAATACTATTCACCCTGAAAATGGAAGGAAATTGTGACACATGCACAACATGGATGAACCTTGAGGACATTATGTTAATTGAAATAAGCCAGTCATAAAAAGGACAAATGCTGTATGATTCTACTTACAGGAGTTACCAAGAGTAGTGAAACTCATAAAAGACAGAAGGTAGAATGGTAGTTTCCAGGGGATGGAGGAGGGAAAGTGGGAGGTGGTTGGTTAATGGGTATGAAAAAGTTCTGGAGATTGGTTGTACAACAATGTGAATACACTTAACTGTACAGTTAAAAGTGGTTAAGATGGTAAATTTTATGTCACATGTATTTTACCACTATTAAAAAGAAAGAGAGAGAGAAAGAAATAGGAAAGTAGGAGTGAACTTCTTTCTAATTTTATTCTGGTTAATCTCACCCTTTCTTAACTATGCAATTCGGTTGTACCATTATTTATTGAACACATTCTATGCATAAACTATACTGCTCCAGAAACAAAGATCAGTTAAATGGTGCCTGTTCTCAAGGAGTTTGCCTTTTGGAATAGGATTGGTCAAGATACACACATAGTTACAAGGCCAAAGAGATGTGCTAACAGGATGAAATGGGTCTTGGAGAAGGCAGTGCTTGGACTGCAACTTAAGGACAATAGGATTTCCGCTGGGGCTAAGTTTTGGGAGAGCAGTGTAAGAACAAAGGAGACCAACTAGTTTCTTACATCGCTGGCCAGGTAAAGGTTCAGAGTCATGTTTGAAGAGTTGGCGCAGATGTTGAAGATTACTGGTCCGACTTCTCATTTAATTCAGGAGTCCATTCTACTTAACGAAGAAAGAAATCAGGAGGTCATGAAATGTGGCTACTGTAAGGAAACCATGATCCACAATAAAGCACATTGGATTTAGCTTATAGATTTGCTTTCTAGCTTGCTTTTGCCTGTAAGCTTTATCAAGCTCCTTAACTTCTCTGAGAACTGGCTTCCTCCTCTGTTCCAAGGCTGCCTCATACTATAATAAACATGTGTGAAAATTCTCAGCAAGCATTAGAAACTACGTTTATCTTCTCCTTACTATTCTAATTCCCACTCTTCCAGGCTCAGCTGAGGACTAGCGGGCACGGAAAGTCACATGCGATCATCTTGTCTTACCTTCACACTGCATTGAGTGGCCTGTTTGCAAGGCCATGTGCTCCCCAGAATGTGAACTCCCTGAGGGTTGCCTGATTGACTTTTGTAACCTCAAAACCTGGCACAGTGCACAAGATATACACTAGTGCAGTAGTTAAGAGCACTAGCCTTGAAGATAAGATCATTAGATGTCGAATCCTGGCCCTGCCATTTACTGTGGGCAAGATCCTTAATCTCCTCCCTGGGCCTCAGTTTCTTCAACTGCAAAGTGGGGATAATAATTATAAGCACTTCATCGGCTGTAGGGAGAAGTTCAACGGGAGCACACGCTTTTGCAGTTCATGGCGCAGTGCCTGACATACAGGAAGTCAGAATAGTAAATTACTGAGTTCTCTACATATGTCTGTCGCATAAAAAGTAGCTAAGGCTGTAAATAGCTACACTCCTTGCCTAGAAAACCTTGCTGAGTCCCCGGTGCCTGGACCTTCAGCTATGGAGCTAGCACGCCCACTCCCAGCCACTCTAGCCTCGAGACAAGCCAGGTGAGGGCGGGGCTCCGTCTCTAGGCCCCCCCCGGGGGGGCGGAGCTCCGCACGCCGGTCACGTGGGGCGTGGGAGGCGGGGCTCTGCGCGCGCTGGTCACGCGGCCCGGTGTTGACACTTCCGGGTGGGACCAAAGTGAGGCGGCGGGGCAAAGGCTGGCAGCTCCGGCGCAACCATGGCGTATCACGGCCTCACGGTGCCTCTCATTGTGATGAGCGTGTTCTGGGGCTTCGTCGGCTTCTTTGTGCCTTGGTTCATCCCTAAAGGTCCTAACCGGGGGTAAGTGCGCGAGGCCCGCTTGTGAGTGACGCGCGGGGAGGACGGGCAGGCCTGGGCGGGGAAGGAGGCGACCCCAGCCTCGGTCAGAGAACCTTGCACTGGTGCACCTGCACCCCGCACTCCAGGGTTGGGCCCCTGGCCCGGGAAGCTCCCCGGCTTCCTTATCGCAGCAGCTTCAGTGTTCCCGGCCCGAGCGTGAGGAGGGTGACCTTTGGCGGACCCTTTTTGAAAGTGAGTTTTAGGGAATTTTTTCTCATCGTAGTCCTGGGTAGGGAGGGTACAGTTAGAAGTCAAGGGAAATTGGGGTTCGTCCCTAATCGACTTTCGCCCTTTTACCCCTACCTTCCACCTACACGAGGCCACGTTTGCCTGAACTTTAAAGAAAAGGATCTAATAAATAAAACAGAAATTGCCCTCTCTGCTTCCTATGCTGTCGCAGTCGAGAACACAATAAGCTTGTTCAACAACGTTGAGCCCAGGCCTTGCATCTAGTGGGCGCCAAGAGGTAGTTGGGGCCTGATCTAAAGCGAGATTAATTGCCAAAGAGCAGGAGGTATTGTTTAGAAACCCCTGCGTCATACCTTTTGGAGGGCGCTCCCGTTCTTCTGGGAGTGTAACAAGTGCTTAGAATGATTGGCTAAAAAGATTTCTTTTTTCAGACTTCTTGATTGAATAGAGCTTTGTCTGTTTTGGAAGTAAACGTTAATTGTAGTATCAAATAGAGCCTTATCTTCAAGGGAGCCTTGGAACACCTTTCTGTTTCCCCTTTTGCTTTTTAGTCACTTTTTCCTTCAGCTCTAGATCATGTCGGGTGAAACACACGGAAATTTGTCAGAAACACCATCTCTTACTTTATTCCTTGAAACTAATTTGTGGCTTCCTGGTGCCTGGTTTCACAGTACCTTGTATGCACAGTAGGAGCTCAATAAATATCTGTCGAGTGGATAGTTGTATTGCCTTTATTAAAGGAAAGTAAATTTTATTACTTCCTTAATATTTTGTGACCTGAACCCCTTTTGCTCCCTGGAATAGACTTGTTTTATGCTTGTTACTTCTGTTAGCCTAAAAATAAATCATAAATTTTTTAAGAAGGAAAAATGGTAGGCGAATTTCTATCATTTGTAAGCATCGGGTCCCACCTCCCTTATAACACCAGTTATATTAGGTCCTCTCTCCAGGCTATAGTAATTGATGTATAGTGTCAGAATTCTAGAATTATTAAAGCAATTTGTATTAACCAAGTTTAATTAGACTTGTTTTTCCTACTGGAGTTACAGAACTACAAAGTGCTTCTTTGTTGTGTTTATATCTTCAATTGTTTCATTACCCTACTTACTGTCTGTCTTTCTGGCCTTCATACTCAAAAAGCATTCAATAATGTGCTAGTAACACTGACCATTCCTTTCCTAAAGACAGGCCTCCCCCATCTGATGCCATTGCTGTTTCCAGGGTAATGAAACCCCTTGTGTTTCTACTCAGTTTCTAGCCCCAGTGTCATGATTCAGGTATTTAACCTGCTGATGATGTACAGTCATGTGTTGCTTAAGGAAAGGGATCCATTTTGAGAAATGCATCGTTAGGGTCTTTGTGTGACTGTCGTAGAGTGCACTTACACAAACCTGGATGGCATAGCCTACTACACACCTAAGCTATATGATACAGCCTATTACTTCTACGCTACAAACGTGTACGTCATGTTCCTGTCTTAAATACTGTAGGCAATTTTAACACAACGGTAAATATGTGTGTATCTAAACATATCGAAACAGAAAAGGTACAGTAAAAATACAGTATATAAGATAAAAAGTGGTACAGCTGTATAGGACACTTACCATGAATGGAGATTGCAGGACTGGAAGTTGCTCTGGGTGAGTCAGTGAGTGAATGTCAAGGCCTAGGACGGGACTGCTATAGACTTTATAAACACCGCACACTTAGGCCACCCTAAATTTATTTAAAAATTTTTTCATTCTTTAGTAATAAATTAACCTTAGCTTACTATAACTTTTTTACTTATAAACTTTAAATTTTTTAAAACTTTTTGACTCTTTTGTAATAACACTTGGCTTAAAACACAAACATTGTGCAGCTACACGAAAGTATTTTCTCTATATTTTTATTCTATGAGCTTTTTCCTATTAAAAAATTTTTTTTTAACTTTTTTTTTTTGAGACAGAGTCTTGTTCTGTTGTCTGACTAGAGTGCAGTGGCATCGTCATAGCTCACTGCAACCTTGAACTCCTGGGCTCAAACTATCTCCTGAATAGCTGGGATTACAGGTGGGTGCCACCACACCTGGCTAATTTTTCTCTTTTTTGTAGAGATGGCATCTCGCTCTTGCTCAGGCTGCTCTTGAACTTCTAGCCTCTAGTGTTTCTCCTGCCTCAGGCTCCTCACTCCTCCCCCCCTTTTTTTTTTTTAACTTTTTAAACTTTTTTGTTAAAAACTAAGACATAGGCCGGGTGTGGTGGCTCACACTTATAATCTTAACACTGTCTCCAAAAAACCCCCAAAAAAACAAAAAACAAAACTGGGACACAAACAGGTACATTAGCCTAGGCCTACTCAGGGTCAGGATCATCAAGACATCAGTAGGTGATCGGAATTTTTCAGCTCCATTATAATCTTATGGGACCACCTATCATATATGCAGTCGGTTGTTGACTGAAAGGTCACTGTGTGGCACATGACTGTATTATCTGGTTCCAGTTCTCAGCCTTCACTGCAGTCCTGTATTTCCTGCTCTTGGCAGGATTGAGCAGGTTCTGAAATGCAGTGTCTCCGAGGAGTTACTGAATTATGCCTTGAGAAACACTGCTAGGTGGATGATGATCCCTGTGACCTTGAATAACATAGTTAACTTTTCCGTGTTCCTGTTTTCTCCTTTTAAAATGGAAATATTAGTACTGAGTTAGTCGTAGTTCCCCTTTACCTCCTGAAAACACTGCAGATCAAATATTTCAGAATAGATGAAGGAGCTCAACTGTTCAAAGCCGTGGTTCCCAATCCCTGGGCCTCTGACCAGTCCTGCTCCGTGGCCTGTTAGGATATGGGCTGCACAGCAGGAGGTGAGCGGCTGATGGGAAGCGTCATCTGTGTTTACAGCTGCTCCTGGTTGCTTGCATCACCGCCTGAGCTCCATGCTGCCCAACGCCACCCCCAGCCTGTGGAAAACCTGTGTTCCATGAAACTGGGCCCTGGTGCCAAGAGGTTGGGGACCACTGGCTTAAAGGACTGTGGTGAATTTTTAATACAAGAAATCGTTTCTGATTTGAGGGATTAAAAACATCTTCATTAGGGAGATAAAGGAAAGGAACTATGTGAGAAGGGAAGAAGGGAGAAAAACAAAAAAGACTTTGATGTAAAATTCTCTTCCTGCACACCAGATGCTGAGAATTGGGTGGTTAGGAGGCTGTAGAACCTGGTGAGGCAGGGAGAAGAAAGGGCAGAAGGAAGAACTCTCCCAAATCCAGGGATAAGCTAAAGCAAGCCCCTTGCTCTTTCATTCTTTTTTGCAACTGAAAAAGGGCTGGATAAAATCAGGCCTGTGCCTGGAATCAGCTTTCCTGACTATTCTTGTTTTTCATGATTTCCTTCTGTTCTCTGTAGGAATCCACAGATTCTCTAAAAGCTTCCAGTGTTTTCAAGGTGGCTCCCTCCCCAGTAGATGTGGGGAGGGGGAGGGGGAGGGGATAGAGCACAGAGATGAGTGTGCCAGGAAAAGCAGAGAAACCAGGTGGGGGAATTTCAGCAGGCACAGGGATGAGTGTGCCAGCTCTGCTTTATTCTTGAACATTGTCAGGCATGCGGAAAAGTAGAAAGTAGTGCAACGAGTGCCTATTTACTACCACCTGGGTTCAGTAATTGTTAATGTATTCTCATGTTTGCTTTATCTATGACTGTGTGTGTGTAATTTTGCTGAGCCATTTGATAGCAAATGCAGTCATTGTGGCATTTCACCCTTCAGCATGCAGCTCCTAAGGAGAAGCACATTAGGAGCTGACATTTTAATGAGGGAGCTTTTATATGAAACTATTAATACAATATTAAGCGGGTAATACAAAGGAGCCTCAGCTGTTCCAGCTCTCTGAGATGGTCTTTGGGAGAAGAGAGAAGACGGGAGAGGTTCCAGCTTAGGGTGCAGAATGGGGGAAGATGAGCAAAGCTTGGATTGAGAATCATAATGTGTGTGTTGGGGGGACAGTGTGGGCACCTGCCTTCAGGAATGAGGGATTATGTTTGCAAGTAGGGGGAGGTGAGGAGGAGGAGTGGAGGGAATGGATACAAGTGAGGAGCTGGACTTGATTCTGTAGGTCTTCAAACATTTTTATTGTGCAACTATTATAATTTTTTTAAGCACAAAGCCCCATATATATTTATGTATTATAACTAATGTATAATCATATATTTTGAAGATTCTGACAATTCTTCCTACCTGAATTGCTGCCAACCTTACCCAGTCTGATTATTGTAATTCTCCCAGCTAGTTTTTCTGCTTTTCCTTTTGCCCTCCTTCCAGTCTGTTTCATCCCAGAGAGCCTATTAGAATTTGGATCAGATTTTGTCAGTCCTGTCCTCACATCCCTCCAAATAAGTTCCCTTTTCACTCAGAGTAAAAGCTTTTCAGCGTAAAAGTTGTTTCAGAGGCTCCCTGGTACCTCTGTGACCTCACGTCCCACCAGGCTCCCTGTGCTCTGCTTTGGCCACACAGGCCTCCTTCCACTTTGAACACCAGGCATCCTCGCAGCTCATACCTTCGTGTTTGCTGTTCCCTTGCCTGGAACACTGCCTTGCCTCCTGTAGGTCTGCACTCACGTGCCGCCTCCTGAGCACGGCCTTTCCTGATTAGCCTCTGTAAAATTGCACTGCACCCTCCAACTCTCTGTGTACTCTGTCCTCCTTTCTTGCTTTATTTTCCTCCATCAGCACTGACTGCCCATCTGGCATGCTAACGATAGATAGGTAGATAATCTCTGTTTATTGTTCATCTCGTTGTTTGTGTCTCCCCAAACTTCACAAGGCAGGGGTTTTTTTTTTTTGAGACAGAGTCTCATTCTTTTTGCCCAGGCTAGAGTGAGTGCCGTGGCGTCAGCCTAGCTCACAGCAACTTCAAACTCCTGGGCTCAGGCAATCCTTCTGCCTCAGCCTCCCAAGTAGGCTGGGACTACAGGCATGCACCACCATGCCCGGCTAATTTTTTTTTTATATATATATTTTTAGTTGTCCAATTAATTTCTTTCTATTTTTAGTAGAGACGGGGTCTCGCTCTTGCTCAGGCTGGTCTCGAACTCTTGAGCTCAAACAATCCTCCCGCCTCGGCCTCCCAGAGTGCTAGGATTACAGGCGTGAGCCACCGCGCCCAGCCAAGGCAGGGGTTTTTATCTGCTCTTTCCCCAGGGCCTGGTGCTTACTGGACACTTAGTGAAAATCTGTTGAGTGAATGAATGTGCCAATATATTAACCACAGAAAGCACACACACACACACTTCTAAAGGATGAGTTAAAAATAAATATAAATAAAAACACAAGTTCTGATATTTGCTTCCCAGGTTCTAGGAGATAGTTTTGCTCTCTCCCGGGGGTGTGGACACCTCTCTTTGGAAACCAGATGATTGGGTTCCATTGAAAGGTCTTAAGCTGGAGAGAGATGTAATGAAAGGAATATTTTGGAGAGATTAATCCTAGTGATTGCGATGAAATGAAAGGGAAGGAAGAAAGTTTTGAATTTGCCAGGCAAACCTGGTGAATGTTGTTGCTAACAGTGGGAATGGGAAGGAGGATGTCTACATGGGGGGAGATGCTTCAAAGGACGAATCCGTTGTACTTGGTGACTGAGGGTGCAGAGGAGGCGTGAGCAAAAGATGATCGATTGGAGGCTGGAGGGATGGGTGCAAATGGCAGAGCTGCTTCTGGGAAGTAGGAGATTTTGGAAAGAGAAGTGGGAAGAGAATATCATGAACTCAGTTTTAGAAATGTTGAAATTCTATTATGAAAGATCCAAGTTTAGCTTTCAGGCATGAATACAGATGGGGAGAGGTCAACTCTAGAGTCATATTTTTAGAAGGGCAGTGTTATTTCATTGCCGAGGATACTACCAAATATGGTAGTTACTTAGGTGTCGAAACTAATTGTCGCTGTAGCCTTTTCTGTTCAGTGTCAGATGAATTTGGATTGGACATTTATGCTGTGGCATCAATACACGTCCCTTTAAATACAAATGTTTAATTATGTACTTAAGCTTCTACCGCGCGAAGCCTGGGGCACACTGCAGTCTACTGATTGTGTTGTTTGAACAGATTCAGATCCATTTTCTTGGTGCAGTGTATGTGCCAGTTTGGTAATTGGGAAGGGAATTTAAACCATTCTGCAGTGTCTTCGTAGTTTGCTAGTTATCTAATGTTATTTGCATTTTTTTTTTTTAGAGTTATCATCACCATGTTGGTGACCTGTTCAGTTTGCTGCTATCTCTTGTAAGTATTGTCTGTTATAAGTAGTTTTTTCCTAAAACAATCAATTTTTCTTAGTAATTGTAATGTGTGCAACTTACTCATTTGTTTAATTGGAGCTTGTACCTCATGTAATATCTAGAAATAATGTCTTAAAATAGAAAATATTGCACTTTTCCTGTGCTCAGCATATTTACATAGAGCTGCACAGATGCTCTTTCCTTTTGGGAATACAAGTGTAATTTAATTGCCATGAATTTAAAGCTTATAATTAGCTGGAAATTATAACTGTAGTGCTTTATATTTTATTGTGAAGTATTTAGGTCTACTCGTTTCACTTCAATATTTCACTATGAAGCTAATAAAGGCATTCTTTATTATGACTTTCGTTTATCTGAGTAGAAGTTGAGCTACAATTATAATCAAGTAGAGTAAGGATAATTTTTTTCAATAATTCATTGTAAATTATATCCAAGTATAATAATTAGCATCTGTTTGAATAGATTAGATAGTTTATATAAGCTATTGAATGAAAACTATTTTGGGATATGTAAGATAATGTATTTCCTCAACATATATTTTTTGAATATGGTTCTTTATCCTCATCAATACCAGAAATGGCAGAACTGCAGTTGAACTACAGTCATGTGTTGTTTAACGACAGATAAACATTCTGAGAAATGCACCGTTAGGCAATTTCATCACTGTGCAAACGTCATAGATGGTACAACCTATTGTACACATCTAGGTTATATGGTGTAGCCTGTTGCTTCTAGGCCACAAACCTATACAGCATCCTACTGTCCTGAATACTGTAGGCAATTGTAATACAATAGTAAATATTTGTATATCTAAACAAAAAGATCCAATAAAAGTATGGTGTTACAATCTTATGGGACCACCATATCATATGATGGTCATATATATGATCATATACGCCATCTACTGTTGACCAAAACATTGTTATGTGGCACGTGACTACATTCGAAAGATGTTTTCAACTCTTGTCTACATTCTCCTCTTCCCTGAAGAATATGGAATGAGTCAAGCCCCTAAAAAAAAAAAAAAAAAACCTGAGTATTAATCTGTGGAGAAGATAACCAGTTCAGAGTATTCAAAGGCCTTAAGATTTCTTTTTTTTTTTTTTTAAGTTGAGATATAGATCACATACCACTTCAGTAACCCTTTTAGGGATTCCTTTTTAGAGTTTAGAACCAGTCATTCTGTTTTCTTGAAGAAAGCTTGCTAGCTTCCTGAGACTTCAGTGACATGGGAAGTGTTGGTGTTGGCCCAAGTGTTAAGTGCCTGTGAGGTAGGAAGCAGCAGTTCCAGTACATCCTCTGGATGAAAGGCTGTGGCTCTCTGCCACTCCGAGTCTGTGGATGTCCAGCCTCCTGGGGCTTTTGCACTAACATTGTTCAAAGAAGTCTGTGGAGAAGAGCCCAATTCCAATTCTGGGCATAGATCAAAATCCGCCCCTGACAAGAGTTATTGCCATGAATTTTGGCTGACTGCCAATCATCTGGCTACTTTCTTTGGGGAGGGGGGCGTAATTTATATTTTGGTAGATTTAGGGGTACAAGTGGTTTTTCGTTACATGGATGAATTGTATAGTGGCGACGTGTGGGTTTTTAGTGTACCCATCACCCAAATAGTGTACATCGCACCCAATAAGTAGTTTTTCTTCCCTCATCCCCTTTCACCCTCCCTTCTTCTGAATCTCCAATGTCCATTCTACCACTCTATATGCCCCCGAGTACCCATAGCTTAGCTCCCACTTATAAGTGAGAACATGCAGCATTTGGTTTTCCATTCGTATGTTACTTGCGTTAGGATAATGGCCTCCAGTTCCATCCAAGTTTCTGTGAAAGACATTATTTCATCCTTTTTTATGGCTCAGTAGTATTCCATGGTGTATATTTACCACCTTTTCTTTATCCATTCCTTGGTTGATGGGCACTTAAGTTGGTTCCATGTCTTTGCAATTGTGAATTGTGCTGTGATAAGCAATCTGATTGCAGGTACTTTTTTGATATAATAATTTCCTTTGGGTAGATACCAGCTCACCTGTTAAATGCAACTTTAGGTATTTAAAGTTGAATTATGTATTATAAAAGTTGTGCTATATGATGATGTCTGACTGCTTCAGCACGAAGGCTCACATGATGGGACTTCCTAAAATTTGTGTTAGGGCTGGGCGTGGTGGCTCATGCCTGTAATCCTAGCACTCTGGGAGGCTGAGGCGGGAGGGTTGCTTGAGCTCAGGAGTTCGAGACCAGCCTGAGCAAGAGCGAGACCCTGTCTCTACTAAAAAAAATAGAAATTGGCTGGACAACTAAAAATATATAGAAAAAACTAGCCAGGCATGGTGGCACATTCCTGTAGTCCCAGCTACTCAGGAGGCTGAGGCAGAAGGATCGCTTGAGCCCACGAGTTTGAGGTTGCTGTGAACTAGGCTGATGCCACGGTGCTCTAGCCTGGGCGACAGATTGAGACTCTGTCTCAAAAAAAATAAAATAAAAAAATAAAATAAAATTTGTGTTAGTCTTTTTTTTTCTGGTTAGAGAGGTAAAGGAGGCTTTTCAGGTGATAACTTAGCTCCCAGAGTGGAAGTTCGACAGGTAGCGTGTGGAGGGAATTCTTATACGAGCTGTGTTCAGCTCTGAAAAGTAAATGAATGCAAATACATGTATCATCAAGAACCTGTAATTTTTTTTTTTTTGAGACAGAGTCTCACTCTGTCACCCGGCCTAGAGTGCCGTGGCATCCCCCCAGCTCACAGCAACCCCAAACTCTTGGGCTCAAGCCATCCTTCCTCCTGCCTCAGCCTCCCTGCCTCCTCAGGCAGGCGTGCACTGCCATGCCCGGCTAATTTTTTCTATTTTAAGTAGAGAACGGTCTCGTTCTTGCTCAGGCTGGTCTCAAACTCCTGACCTCAAGCGATCCTCCCACCTCAGCCTCTCATACTGGTAGGATTACAGGTGTGAGCCACTACACCCAATCAGGAACTTATAATTTTAGTACGGGTGATTGAACATCAGCTTATCCTACTTAATTGTCTATAGACATTGGAATAAGGGAGCTCTTTAGCAATGTCAGTGTAAGGATTAGTCTTGTGATTGAAAAGGCCTTTGCTTTTATGCTTTGAAGATCTCTACAATGTGAACAGTAAGGTTGTTGGTGGTATTTTTTGTTTTGTTTTGAGAGATAGGATTTTGCTCCATCTCCCTTCATAGAGTGCAGTGGCGTCATCATGGCTCACTGCAACCTCAAACTCCCTGAGCTCTGGCGATCCTCCAGCCTCAGCCTCCTGAGTAGCTAGGACCACAGGTGTGTGCCACCTCACCCAGCTAATTTTTCTGTTTTTTCTTGCTCAGACTGGGTCTCAAACTCCTGGCCTTAAGTTATCCTCCCGCTTTGGCCTCCTAAAGGGCTAGGATTACTGCCATGAGCCACTGCACCTGGCCTGGTGGTGGTATTTTTTGAAAGAGAAAATTATCGCACAGAGGAATGACTTACTTGAGATTAAACCAAAACAGGAAAAAAATATTTTGTGACTTCCTGGTTCTCCATAGTCTTTGAAATGTGGTTAGTTTTCATGATAGTCTCTTTAAAACAAACAAAAAACCTTTCCAATCAATCTCATGCCTCTTATTTTCATTTTCAAGTGTCAAATGAATAATTGCGCTCAGTTGGAAATTACTTCACTTTGAATCTTAGTGACTTAATTGTGAAGTATCCATGAGCTCTTGCCTTTTGCTGTCTAGAGTTTAGTCGGTTTGTTCCTTTGTTCCCAAGTGCTGGTGAATGCTCTGTCGATAGTGGATCAGTACTGTCAGTGTGCATTAATTAAGGTGGTACACGGTGTTCTAACGTTAGATGCTTCTTGAGGCCGTTTTATGGGGAAATGAGCTACGTACGTAGCATTGACTTTATGAAATCATTTTCTTTTTTCTTTCTTTGAAGCCTGATTATATATCTTATTTAGCAAGATATCTGCATGAAAAATATGGATGGAATTCAAACCCCAAATATTTTACATACCTTATTCCACAGAGGAATGAGATTCTATAACAAAAAAAAAAAATTAAAATTCAAAGGAAACTTCTGTTTGGCAGTAGTTATGTTTTCTTAAAAATAATCCTTTTGAAGTAAGGCACACCCAAAAAGACTTTGGCTTTCCTAAACAAAGTCATGTTTTGAAATACATTCATGGACTTTTAAATTGCCTTCTGTTTGTGGTAGTTTTTTTCTCTTGCCAGTTTGTTCCTGTTTAAGATTTGTTCCATGGGGCACAACTTGTTTGAGCTCTGTATAAATCAGTTTTCTTCCAGTGGAAGCCCGTTTCTATTAATAGTTTAGCAAAGGAAAATATGAATGTTATAACCAGATCCCTTTTGAGGCAGAAGATTACTTTTCTCTCTTAAGCATACAATCCTATTAAGTGACTATCCCATACTTTTTCCTGGTCTTAGGTTAATTTTTTTTTAATTTAATTTTTTTTTTTAATTTCAGCATATTATGGGGGTACAGATGTTTAGGTTACATATGTTGCCTCCCCCCCCCGCCCCCGTCTTAGGTTAATTTTTAATGTCCAATTGTGTTGTAACTTACCCAGAGTCGCAAAACTCACATCTTCAAAGGAAATTAGAAATTTAGTGTTGTATTGTAAAGATACAGTTGCTTCTTGGAAAACTTGCTGTCTTTAGCACTTGACTAATTGTAAATCTCACCAGCATACTGATACAGGAAAAGAAACACTGACTAAGAGTCAGGAGACCTCCGTTCTTTTAGGCTAAAGAGTACTTGGCCTGATTACACTGTAGGGTTTTAAATGAGATGCTGTGTGTGAAAACTTTTAACAGAGAACAATAAAAAAAGTAATACTACTAGTGATTTTTAAAAACAAATTATTTTAATTCAAAGAACTGTGTTATTTGTAAGTACAGGGCTGGTGTCTCAGTGGGCCTTACTACATTTCATTCACTCAACGTATATTTATTTAGAATCCACCAAGTATCAGG